AACCCACTGTTGTTATTTTTGAAACACATAACTAATATGCACTATTTCTTTTTGTTCTTAATCATGTCCACACAGACACTTTGTTCATTCCACATCTTTAGTCCAGTTGTGGAACTTCTGCACATCCTGTCTTCTAAAGTAAACTATGCTCCAGACATCTTGTATCTCAGAATCTTCATTTCATCTCAAAAGAGAACCTTTTAGTTTCAGATTTGTGCCTTGGTCAGATTTGGAGCTTTAGTTTTAGTCCAGTCTGCTAGCTGTTCTTGTATGCACGTAGCTGCTTTATGGCTTTTGAAAATTGTCTGTAAAATTCCATAATTATTAGTTTAAATTATCTGTCCTGTCAAAACCTGACTGCAAATGAGAAAAGTTGCAGAAGAAACAGCTAGCCTAGCTGGCTTACAGATATAAACCTGGGACATTCTGAGTAAACATCACAGAGCGATCACTGTTAAAAAGCAATTTCTCAGTTGTGTAAAAGTAGAATGGCCTGTGTTATTCCTTTCTGCTGACTTTAAATGATTTGCTGCACAGCAATGGCCATCATCTTAAGCAAGATATAACGAATTTTGGAATTATATGTAGACATATGTGTGACTTGGCAAGGTGGATGTTTTATAATAGAGGTTGCTTTGTTTTTTTGTTTTTTTTACAGGGCGATATGGGTAAAAGAAGCTCAGTTGATCAGTCTAATTCTGAGTACATCAAATACTGCTGTTTAGTCAAAGCGGTTCCTGTCTCAGAGGTATGATCCTGAGACTGGTTTTATCCCAGGAATATAAAGGGTGTGTCTGTGTATGTGACATCTTTTGCCTGGCTTGAAAAACACCGGGAACATTTCATAAGCAAAGCATTCAGTCTGTTCAGGGTCTTCCATTTTGAAATTAGACTAAACGTTCAGCAGACGTCCTGCTGTTTCATCTGCTCTGTGCAGCTTGAAGTTGGTTTCATTAAGATTGATTAGCATTTTTAGTTAAATTTTCAGTGGGCCTGATCAGCTCCAGCAGCTGCACAGGAGTCCAATCCTGTTGTGCCCTGTTTAGTCTCATAGCTATTTTTGACTCACTGCATTTTAACATTAAACCACATGTTTTCGACTAGCAAATGTAAGTAACTAAAAGCAAAATGAGAAATTGAGTGAAGCAGGACAAAAATTACAGGATGAGCATTAGATATACATTCTTTAGTATTTTAAACCATCTGTTTTTACTTGATTTGTAATCCAGATGTTTATAATTGCACTACAGTATAGTGGCTGTTCATTTGGAGACTTTTCTAAGCAATCAAAATGACTGTCAGGAATTTTTGAACAAGTTATCATAATAAATAGTTATTAATCATTATTTTAAATCAACAACATTGCGTTTATGGCGCAGAACAAAAGCACAAACGGTCATGTTTATTTTCAAAGCTTCCAGGTGTTATCAGGATACTTTTACATGAATTTATGAACTGTCATAAAATGTTATGCATGCTACATGTAGTCTGCTACACGTAGCATTCATAAGATGGGATTTCTTTCTTGGCTTATATTCCATCTAGTCTCAGCTACACAACATACAGAGTAGAAGGTTATTTTTGGAAAGGGAAGTAGAAAGCTTTCTAAGCAACTGGGGTAATTGATCTAAATTATATTTGTCTCCACTGTCATTATCATCATCACTGATGTCATGTTCACCATGGTAGTCGAGCTATTGGAACATTTGCCTCTGGTGGTACTGCATGAGCTGTACAGTTCTGATCTAATGAACTATGGGTATTGTATTGATTCTGTTCCACTACTGATCTCATCTTACTGCTGTTTTCCTCCCTTTGGTGATAACTACAGTGATGTTGTATTGTGGGTATATTGTTAGAAAACAACTACGTGGTCCAAACCAGGGGTCCGTTCTTCGTACCTTGCTAAGTAAGTTAGCTGGATTTGATTGTTGACGATTTCGCGTGATCTTGGATCGTTCGGTTCTCCGAAACTCATCCAGGACTTGCTGTCATAGCAACAGATCCGTAAGCGTAAACCTGCTTGGGAGGAGCTTACTTGTAAACAGGATTAGATTGCGGGAATTCAGGTATGTCTGCTTCATTTATACGAAAGCAACAGCGATATTTTTCCACTGTTTTTCCATAAATAAATATTATCAATGTAACTAAAGATAATGCAGTATTTGATTCTTTTATTGATTCCATACAGATACATACAGGTCATTTCCTAAAAAAGGGAAATGTACTATTAATCATTCATATT